CCCTTGAAATTTTCCTGAGGGGACACCCTTGAAGTAGAAATTGTTGCTAAGCCCCCGGATTCACCTCCGTTGGTTTGCTTCCCTCCTCAACTCCCGGAAGAGGCACCCTCCTGCGCAGGCTGAAGGACTTCAGCGCGGCCATCGATGACTACCTGAGGGCCGTCGAGCTGTGCAGAGCCAATGAGGCCAGCGAGGTGCGTCGTGAGGCTGAGAAGCAGGTCCTCCTGAGCTACAACGATTTTGCCGTCCACTGTTACTTCAAGGGCTGCTACGAAGAGGCCGTGCTGCTGCTCAACAAAGCCATCAAAGGGGAGAAAAACGAGTTTGGCCTCTACATCAACCGAGGAGGTAGGTGAAGAACAGTGGGGGTCTGCTCCCGGTTCTCACTGGTTGTAGCGAACCGGTTGCTCCAGTGAACGGTTGGCCCTGCCCACCCACCCACCTGCCCTTTCCTGTCCTATATTTCGTTGTTGTTGTTAGTTGTGAAGTTGTATCTGACCCATTGTGACCCCATGGACAACGTTCCTCCTCCCTCTCCTCTACCATCTTCTGGAGTCCATTTAAGCTCACACCGAGTGCTTCAGGGACTCCATCCAAGCCCCTTCCTTACTCTGCCGTCCCCTTCTTCTTCTTTGGCCCTCAGTTGTTTCCAGCATTTAGGCTCTTCTCCAGTGAGTCCTTCCTTCTCATCAGGTAGCCAAAGTCTTTGAGTTCCATCTTCAGGATCTGTTGTGGTTCACCGGCAGCAGGTGCGGATGGCTGAGGCATCGGAGAGCGAGGACTCAGATGAGGGGCCTGCGTGTGATGTAGGGATGTGGCCAGAACTATCAGGGAGTGGAGTGCTGCTTTCAGAGATGGTGGAGCCTGGCAGCAATGACGAAGAGCTCCCCGAGGAGCCTGGGCCCAGTGCGTGTGCACGCGGGGCTGCTCAAAGGAAAGAGCAGCTGCAGCAGCACGGGCGACTCGGGAGTAAGGCTGCAAGGGAATGGCCCCTCCCTTAAGAGATAAAAGCCAGCCTGAGAGACTGGGGTTCTTTGCAGGAAGCAAAGAAGTCCTTGCCCTTCAAGCCTTGTGGAAGTCCGGACTATCTTGCTTTGGTGTTTGGAGAAATATTTCTCAGTAACTTTATCTTGTGTTCTTGGCAGCCTTGTACAATCTTGGCAAGGCTTGTTCTTATCAGAGACAATGAGTTGTAATAGCCTTTTAACCGTGAACTAAATAAGGTCATCAGTGCTCAGTGCTACCTAGTTTGGACAATGAAACATCTGCAAAAAACCCTGTTAGGGATAACATTGTTTTACCCTAACTGTTTTGGGTAAAGATAATAAAATGATGAATCATGGTTTGTCAGATAAAGTGTATGTGACTTTAAACTAAAGGAATGTAATTAAGGGTGCAGCTGTAAAAGTACTATATAAGCAGCAAGGCACTCTCTGGCTCTTACTGGGTGGCTTATTGAAGACTGCGTTCTTGCTGGATCGGGGAGGAGAAGAAGTGTTGGATTACTTTGAAGATATTTCTCAACGGAGAGAAGATAAGTTTTGGACAGATTTATTATATGTGTACTGACACTGGCTATTCGACACGGACTTTGCAATTAGAGTATCCTCGACAAGAATTGACTGAAATTGATATATGACTAATGGACCGTTACATTTGACTATGCTATAATTCTTAAATGGAATAAACAATATTTTTGATAGCACAAAGCGTATCTGTATTTTTACTGCGTGTTAACTAGAAAACTTATCTCACACATTTACCTGTCTTTCCTATCTGACTTCGCTGTACATTCTGTTTAGTTTGTTTTCCTTAACACCCGTTGGGGAATCCAGGCTTAACAAACCCCACCAAGTTCAGAGAGCACTGAGGACCTCACACTCCTCCTCCTCCTCCTCCTCCTCCTCCTCCTCCTCCTCACCACCACCACCACCACCACCACAAACCCCACTCCCTTCTAACACTGATGATGTTACCCCATTTGGTAATGAAATGTCTGCAAGAAAACCCATCCAGTTCAGAGACCACCAAGGACCCACAATCCTCCTCCTCTTCCTCCCACCCCCCCACTCCCTTCTAGCACTGGTGATGTTTATCTCTGTCTCTTTCTGCCTCGTAGACTGTTTTCTGAAACTGGGCCAGCTGAATTTTGCCATGGCGGATTATCAACAAGCCTTAGAGCTGCATCCTTTAGACCCCCGACTCCGGCATCGCATCGCTTGGCTCTCCAACGAGAGCGGATTGCAAGACTTCCGCGAAAAGTAGGCTGCGATCTGTTGGGAGGGCTCTCGTGGTGGTGAGGTTTCCTTGGGAGGGAAACGCTTGGGCTCTTAAGACGGTCCTTACATAGCTCACCCCGAGAGCCTGGGGGCATCCCAGTTTTATTCCTCTCGGTGGTTGTTTTTCCGTCACGGTCCTGTAAAACAGACAACTGGGACTGGGATTCATGCTTTTATTGAGGTGTGTGTGTGTTTGTGTGTGTGTGTTTTCCAGGCAGTACTTGCAGGCTGAAACACATTTCTCCTGCGCTGTGGACAACGATCCCTGGGAAGTGAAGTATTACCTGAACAGGGCGAAGACTCGTGTGTTTCTGCAGGAGTTCCTGGGAGCTAAGGAAGACATGATCAGCGCCCTCTTGCTGAACCCCAACAAGGAAGAGGTAGGGTCATGGTAATCCCCCCACTGAAGACCACAATCGCGCCCTGAATTTCCCTTGCTCAGTGAGACACGTGTTTCCCCCCCCAATTTTGCAACCTATAAAGCCACCCTATAAAGCAGTGGCCCCCAACCTTTTTTGTGCCACGGCCCGGTACCGGCATCACAAAATCATCCGCAGCCCGGTACCGGCATCAGCATGCATGGCAAGGCGAGCCGAGCAACCGGCCAGCTAGCCGTCCCCCGCTTCTCCCCGCCACCTTCAACTCCTCCTTTGTACCTTTGTTGATGGGCTTCGGGACGGCTTCGGGACGGCCGCTCGGCTCGCCTTGCCTTGGGTGCTGAAAGAATCCTCGCGCCTTAGTTTCGTTCGAAGCCGGCCCCCCCCCCTTCGATGAAACTAAGGCGCGAGGATTCCTTCAGGA